TTTTATTTGCGTAAATTACACGTGACTTACATACACGTGTTATCATATTATTAATTAACGCACGGTCTGATGTAAAAAATTTTAAACTTTTTTCAATTCCTTAATAAACTTTTTTTTGTTTTTTCGTGAATACACACCTATGAAGGATTTCTCCTTTAATTAGTTTGTTTGTTTTCTTTTTTTACGCGATATTAATATTTTAACTTTTTAATAATTCTAAAAAAAAAAAAAAAACCTTCGTAGTGAGTAACAAGGATGCCACCAAGATTACGTAACAAAAAAACCGCTGTTTCTTGTGAAAATTGTGGTGATAAATCTCACGCATCATATGATTGTCCTATTCACGTCATTGATGATAAAGTAGAACGTAGGGGTAAACAAAAACAATCAATTACCGGAAATTCACAGGATAAAACTAGCGACTTGGATGAAGATGATATGGAAATTTCTACAAAACGCAATGATTCGCCTAGTAATAAACGAGATATTCCATCAAAGAAAAGACTTAAGAAAGGTCCAGCTATTTCTTCAACCTCAATTGAATCGGGATTCGTTCCTTCTTCAGTTTATCAACCTCAACAAATGATTGCTGAACCAGAAGTGCAACAAGGGAATATAACCGCAGTTTCAAATTCATCATCATCGACACATCCTCAAATTTTTAAACGCGCTACAATTGTGCCATTCTCTCTTGATTTGGACGCGTTTGATCAGGAACTTTTTGATGAACAAGAATTAGAAAATGAATCAGATCCCGTAGATGATGTGGGTGCTGTAGAAAAATTATACGGTGTTATCAAAACCAAAATTGTAGGTGTACGATATTATGATGGCGTTGTAAACAAAAACGAATCAGTTTCTATTACTCGTGAGCCACGTAATCCGTATGATCGAAATGCGCTACGCGTTGATAATACTCTTGGAGTTCAAGTTGGTCATATACCTCGAGATGCAGCTTCAGCCCTTGCGCCATTAATTGATAATGGAAGTATCCGAATCGAAGGTACAATTCTTGGAAATAAAGGAGTTTACACCATTGCTCTTCTTGTTCATGTTTTTGGAATTCAAGAACGGGAGGATCTTACCACAAGAATTTTAAAAGCGAAAGGATTTAACGTTGAACCACTTCAACCTACGTCTCAAGCGAGAGGAAAGGGTCGAAAAGTTCCCGAGGAAAATGAAGCATGGCGTGAATTAGTAAGACAAGGACAAACCCTTGACAAAAGGAGCACCAAAAAAATTCTCCAAGAAGTCGGAATATCTATTATTGATTTGGCAAGGCTTCCAGAGGCCCCACAACCAGATGCTTTGATCACACCCTTACTTTCATATCAAAGACAAGGACTTGGTTGGATGTTATCCAACGAGCATCCCGCGGATCCAACCGCTGATGTAGCAACGCAATTCTGGGTCGTTCGTAAACAAAAAGGGGAAGAGTATTATTATAATGTAGCTACCGGATTTTCGACTAAATCTTGTCCGAATTTCGCTAGAGGCGGAATCCTTGCTGATGATATGGGTCTCGGAAAGACATTGCAAACGATTGCTTTAATAGCTTCTAATAAAGATGGCAACGGATTTATTTCCAATCCTGTCAATTCGGATCCAACTTATTCCAAAACTACTCTGATCGTCGTTACTTTAAGTATACTTGGGAATTGGGTTGACCAAATTAATATGCACGTCAAGGAAGGATCCCTATCTTATTACGTTTATCATGGTCCTAATCGAGACGATAATCCTAAAAACCTTCAAAACTACGATGTAGTGATTACCACATATGCTATACTTGGACAGTCGGATATAAAGG